GGACGGAGAGCACGGAGGACAAATCCCCCCGGCAGAGCCTGGTGGGAGAGGCCGTTTTGAAGGGCTCCCCGGCGCAGGAAGGCAGCGGGGAGGAAAAGGCCCGGAGATGCCCCCGGAGGAGGGGCTGCAAAGCCAGCCCAGGGAGCTGTGAGGAGGAAAGAGCCGTCCTGTGCCGGGAAGGCAGCCAGAGCTTGAGCCGGAGCTCTGAGCTGGTGGTCCCTGAGCAGCCTCCCAGCAGGGAGAAGCCCTTCAGGTGCTGGGAATGTGGGAAGGGCTTCAGGGAGAGCTACCACCTCCTCAGGCACCAGCACATCCACACTGGGGCACGGCCCTACATGTGTGGGGAATGTGGGAAGGGCTTCAACCAGAACTCCAACCTGATCCAACACCATCGCATCCACACTGGGGAACAGCCCTACATGTGTGAGGAATGTGGAAAGAGCTTCAGGCAGAGCTCCAACCTGATCAAACACAAGCGTACCCACACTGGGGAAAGACCCTTCAAGTGTGAGGAGTGTGGGAAGAGCTTCAGGCAGAGTTCCCACCTCCACAACCACCAGCGTATCCACACTGGGGAATGGCCCTACAAGTGCTTGCAATGTGGGAAGAGGTTTCAGAGCAGCTCCAATCTCCTCACACATGAGCGGATACACACAGGGGAGAGGCCCTTCTGCTGCACGGACTGCGAGAAGGGCTTTAACCAAAAATGCGCCCTCGTCACCCACCGGCGCATCCACACCGGGGAGAGGCCCTACAAGTGCTTGGAGTGTGGGAAGAGCTTCAGTGACAGGTCTACCTTGACCAAACACCAACGGACCCACCGGTAAGGGAAGCCCCTCGAGTGCCCCGACTGCGGGAAGAGCTTCGGCTGCTGCTCCAGCTCCGTCACCTGTTGGAGAGCCCACCTTGGGAACAGCCTTGGGGACCCACATTTCCAGTGACCTGCGTTGGGAACAGCCTTTTGGGGACCCACATTCTCCGGTGACCCCTGTTTGGGGTTTATTGTCGTGCAGCGAATGGTTCTGATTAAGGTGGTTTTTTTTTCTTCTGTCTGATTGTTCGTAAATCGCTCGTTTTATATAAATGTTCTGGTTTTGGCTGTGATTCATTAATTAATTACCTGACGGCAGAGGAGCCCCTGATGTATGTGTTTGTGACCAGGCAATCCCATTTACAATTAATTAATTAATTGATAGCAGAGTAGCCCCTGATCTGTGTGAGTGTGACCTGGCAATCCCAGTAATAATTAATTAATTAATTAACTGATGACAGAGGAGGCCCTGAGGTGTGTGAGTGTGACCAGGCGATCCTGTTAATAAATAATTAATTAATTGATGACAGAGGAGCCCTTGATGTGAGTGTGACCAGGCAATCCCAGTAATTAATTAACTGATGGCAGAGGAGCCCCTGACATATGTGAGTGTGACCAGGCAATCCCATTAATTAATGGGGATGGAGGTGGGTGGGATGGGGACTGGGTGGATGGGACGGGTGTGGAGGAGGATGGAGGTGGGTGAGATGAGGATGGAGGTGGGTGGGATGGGGATGGAGGTGAATGGGATGAGGATGGATGCAGGTGGAGGTGGATGGGATGGGGATTGGGTGGATGGAGGTGGGTGGGATGGAGATGGGACAGATGGGACGGGGATGGAGGTGGATGGGATGGGGATTGGGTGGAT